TTCAAAATACAGAAAAGCGGAGAGCACATACCTGTGGTAGTTTTTGATACTCATTCTCCCAATTGTCCCATGGTTCAAAAATTTCCAGGGGAACGTCAAAATCAAAAGTGGTAAAGTGATTGAAATTCATGACTTCTTCTGACAATTCGTGAATGACGCGCTTGGTAAGGAAGGGCCATTTTATGTGTTTCGGAACAATAGAAAAAAAGGCAAGTAAAAATAAACCATGATATCATCTTACCTGAATAAATATGACATCATGACCAAGTAAGGACATGATATCACTTTTCTATTTATAGATTATGATCTCAAAATTTTTTGATGATCTCAACTCTAGGAAATTCTGACGTCATATGCTCCTTGCCAGCTACAAATAAACTATGACATCATCCTATCTTAATGGATACATGATGTCATCGGCATTGAATTAAACTACGACATCATCCCATCTTAATGGGATGCATGACGTCATCTGCGTTAATTTATACCACTCAAAAAGTTAATTAAATCCACAAAAAAACTGGCATAACCGGTGCCTCCCCCACTACTAAGAGCCGTGAGTGTAAAAGTTGATACAAGTTCAATTCCGGGTAGACTGCCACAGTCTCATAAGAGGCTTCTTTCTACCGCGTAGTTCAAATCCCTCGGCAGGAGGTGCTTGCAACTAGGGCATGCAATAAACCAACCAAGAAACCATGGCATAGTCTCTCTGCCCGTTTTACATATGACGCACTTCTAGCTCAGTCGAAATGTGATGATTTATAATGAACATAGAAAAACTAGTAAAGTTGTCTTAATGTGAAAGTAAAACTCGCTTCAATTTCGTTTATTTTTTATTGTTTTGTTTGCCATAAGCTATACAAAGCAAAGAAATCTAATTATTTAAACTCTCATGGCGAGGAAGCCCAAGAGAAGCCACCGGGCTTATAAGAAATGGCTTCCCTCAGTTAGATAATTTGAACAAAATATTGTCATAATTACACATGGGAAAATCAATGGCAAAGCTATAGTAAATCTTTAAAATAAAGATATTAGATAGTCCTACTAATCATAGTTGTAGGCTAAAAAAAGCGAATGACAAAAAGAAAAAAAAAACGAAAATAAAAGAGCAAAGGTAAAACAACTTCAGAAACACCGTCGCAATTTCCACGTGATCGAAAATAAATTACCTCGTTTGCTGTTCTTTCATCTTCTTGAAAACAGGCAAGCCATTTTGCTTTAAGCCCCTGGTTGTTCTTCAATGTGCACTTCGCCACCTTAATCAAATTTTCTTTTTGTTTTTTCAGCTTATGGTTGTTTATTAACTTGAGACGCTCACTCTCCATGGCCATGAAAAACCGATAGGCGTTGTCACTGATATGAATAAGGCCTCTCTCTCTATACTGCCTTGCTTCTGTCACATCCAGGGTTTCGGCCACCTTTGTACTTTCTGATAATTTTGCAAATGGTACAATGACATTTTCTTCGAAAAGTTCCCACATGCGATGGTGTCGATGGACTTTCTGTAAGGTTTTCTTATTTTCTCTGTAAATGTTGACTTTAACGAATTTTCGCAAATTTTCCAATATTTTACTTATTGCCCAGCCTCCAACATAACGCACTTTTGATCTTCCCACTGCAGACTTCGACGTTGAATTCTGTGGCTTCATTTCTCTAGTCATCTCTAATGGACTGTGATAGGTGTTTCAAGAACTGCAGGTGTATCTTCATTCCAGTCTTAACAGCCACCGTTTTCTACACTGGGGTGAAGTGAGTGGTTTTAAATAAGGCAGCAACATATTTACAGAACTCCTGACTGCACCAAAACTGGTTTAATCGCAAATACCATTACATACCACAGTGCTCTTTTTTTGTCACCCCAAAATTTTGTATAAGCATTGTTTTCAGTTTCTCTTGGGGCCATTTTAACTCCCAAGAGAAACTGAAGACAATGCTTATTCACAATTTGGGGTAACAAACAAAGAGCATTATGGTATGTTATGGTATTTTCTGGAGTGGTCAACAGCTCAATTTCTTTGCATCCATAATTGACCAAGTCCTCTGTGTTTAGAAAGCTGATTGGCATCATAGCTAGTACACCGTGAGAATAAAGGAGATCTTGGCCATCTTGTGGGAATCTGCAATCAATAAGTGATTTGATATTAGCTGCGTGAAATATGAAGCAGAAGAAGATAATTCACTGGATATAAGGTGATCAACATCCAGATGTGTAAAGTTCATGTTGTTTTTATCGATAAATTCAAGTCACAGACAAAGCTTTACCTGTTAAAGCTTCCAAACCGGACTTCGTCACCTTCATCGTGTATTTCGGGAACAGCTTGTTTGACTATTTGTGAAAATTTCTTTGTTTGTTACGGAAGGAAACCGGGAGGGCATTTTGCTCGCAACTCAGCGAGTTTGGGGTCGCTCACTCAGAGGAAGCGGAGGTAAATCAGCGCTGGATATCCACTGATTGAGTAACCAATCAGAGCGCACGAAAAACACTAACCACTGTTTTAGTACTATACTATACTATAGTACGTTAGTTATACTAAAGCCAGTTACACTTCGCTCGCTACCGTATTTTTGTCGTTGGTTTTCGGCATAGTTTCATGTCGGCTCCTAAGTTTAACCTTGTTGGCCAAAGCATGGCGTCAGTAATATTAAAGCGCATATGTTGGTCATAAACTACGATGCTACAACTGTTGATTGGGTTGCACGCAAAGCCCCATTGTTAAGATAGATAAATATTGGAAACCTATAAAAGCAAGAAAATTTGGTTATTACGAAGCGTGCGCCCGTCCGTACACACATGATGTAAGCAGATGCAAAATGTCGGGTTATCATGTTGACGGGAAAATGTTTGGCCACCCACCTCTTGTGAAGCAGAGACAACTTAAGAGTCAATAAAGACGAAAACAGAAAGCGTAAAATGTTTCTGTATCCGTTAGATGACCAAAAAGGGATTGCAATGCTACTGATATAAGGCCTATAAAAGGAGCTTACCTCTGATAGTCTCTTCGGTGGTGAAAAGAAACAACCTTGCTACTGGGACCAAAATGACAATCATCGGTATCAGACCCTTCAAAAGATTCGTTGTCCGAATCAGCAAACAATTCATAAATAAAAGAATCATTGAAATTGTTTGCCCTATGATCGTAGTCGGGCTCGGAAAATTCGTATGGATCCATCAACACTACTACAGTTGTCCCTTGAATTGTAATCTGCTACTTTTCCCGGAGATTTTTAATTCATTCAATAATATAAGGAAATTAACCAGCTTTTTTTGCGTCTTTTGTTTCATTCCTTTTCATAGGCTCTTTTCAAGTAGGCCGCTTAAGGCACTGTGTATCCCCGATCCCCGCTAATAAATTCCCGCTCTTGTTACACTTCTGTTTTTACGCATCCATTTGTGAAATAAACATTCACTTACTGCTTTCTTTTGTTCAGATCCTTGGATATCATTAGTCTTAAAAATGACACCGCATTGACAGTACAGATTCCCACCCGGGGGATTGTAAAATTGAGTGCTGTCGAAAAAGAATTTAGAGCAAAAAACTGTGGATGACACATGCATGTTGGACTGTTGTACTCAAACTTTATTGAGGTGACAGCTGACTCTGCACAACACACTTCTTCAGACAGGCATGTTATCGATAGAATCTTCGATTGTTTGCTTTCAGGTCAGTTATATATAATTTTACCCTCGATAACTCGAACCATGTTTTCAGCGTGAGAAGTAAAAAAAAGGGCGCCATACTGAAGTGCGAAAAATCGAATTTATTTCAAATCAACGGTGTCACCTGCAGTATACTTTTGTTTCACCACAGTTCAGCTTTATCGTCCATCCCTGTGTATTGATCAAACTCTAACTTTTTTCGATTTTCCATACAAGGCTATCAGGAGTAGACTTAAGTACAGAGGAATCCCGCTCTACGGACACTGCTTATTAAAACCTTTTAAAACGGACAGTTTTGTTTGTCCCGATGTAAAGGTCATGATATTCTTGGTTTGCACGTGACATCAGAGACGTTTCCATATTTGGGCATCCACCATGTTGGCGTCCCTTTGTGGGCTTTTTTAAGGTGTTTACATATGCCATCGCTTGAAGAGTGCAATGGAGTTTGCTGAAAATGAATTTATTTCGTCCGTTGACGAACTTAGTAGTAATGTTGATGAACTTTGTAGTAAGGTACCGATAATATCGGATTATTGCAAAAGCCTTGATGGAAATGTGAAACGAAGATATCTTGAAAAAGTCGCTGTTATTGCTGTAGATCCCATTACTATTCCCGACGAACATTTCAGCTCGGGGTGTCTCCCTCCTGTGGAAGCGACGGATTTGTTGAGTTATTTAGTCCTTGAAACCAGCTTCTATACCAAGCAGCAGTTCAAGGCATACAAGAGTTTGGAAGCTTACAATTCCATGGTGTCGGGGTTTATTACCAGCGTCCAGGGCTGCGTTGTTCGTGAAAAGTACATTGTGACAGGAAAGGTGAGACATTCACAACGAAAGAACGATCCTTTAATCTCAATTTGGGTCATTGCCGATAAAGATGGCATGATAAATTCAGCACATTGTTCGGGATGTAAAGCAGGGATGGCGGAGTCATGCTCCCACGTAGCGAGAGTGTTATTTTATATCAAAGCTTGGACAAGAATCCTTGGTAAATTGTCTTGTACACAAGTGAAATGTACGTGGCTTTTGCCCAGCTATGTAAAAGAAGTTCCTTATGCTAGAGTGCGAGACATAGACTTCTCGTCAGCAAGGAAACTAAAAGCAGACTTGGATGCAAAAATTGACAGTATCGGTGAAAGGAGAGAAGTATGTGTAGTATCACACGGAAGTAATCTACGAACAATTAAAGTCCCCACGCTGTCTGAAATGAACAATCTTTGTAGGCAGCTTAACAAAGGCAAAGTGAAACCTGTGGCTTTGAGCCTCAGAGCCCTACTCTGACCAGTTTGTGTTAAAAAGTAGACAAATATTAACAATCTCAGGCCTTTTTGACCCTGAGAACATGAGTCTGTCATATCCAGACTTTCTAATGATGGATGTGGGGAGATTAAATGCCCGTTCTGCATAGACAAATGTGACTCTGACAGCTATGTTTTAAAGAGGACTTCCTGTTTGGAAAAGGCTTGTGGGGAATTTCAGTTAAAAAGAACCCACAATTACTTTTTCCAAGTCCAACAACAATTGTTTACACTGCCAGAACGAAATTACAATGACTTTGTGGTTTGTGCTTTTGACAGGAACCACTGTGCCAAAAATAATTGTAAAGGAAAGAATTTATCGGGATCCTTGTCACTGGCAAGATGTTTTGCCAAAGCTAACCACTTTCTGGATAGTATGCATTTTGCTCGAAATGTTAGGCAGATGGTACACGCGAAAGTGTGACTAGTCTTGTAAAGTACAACAAACATTGGCTGGAATTTGTTTCTGCAGAATGCCCTCAGATGGAAAGACTGTGAAATGCTGTAACCCTGACTGTCCATGTATTGAATTTCATCCTTCTTGTTTGGCCATTGCAACCCCACTTCCCAAGAGATGGTATTGTCCTCAGCGCTGCAGGCTTCCCCAGTTCAAGCGTTTGAGAGCCGCCCCAAAAACGAAGCACGGAAAGATTTCTTCAGAAGTACATCAGCCTTTATCTCTTGATAGTATTTGTGTTTGCCAAGCAGTGCCACAGCAATCAGACAAATTACTAGAGTGTCACAGTGGAAAATGTAAAAGTGGTAATTTTTTCCACTTGACCTGTCTCGGTTACAAGAAAATGCCGAACAACAGCAAGACCACTTGGCAGTGTAACAACTGCAAGAAAATGAAGACAAAGTCAGTGGATGCCAGTTCCAATGCTTCAGCACTTACCTCTGTGGAAATCGCACAAGAAACTACTGCTTGTCCTTCTTCATCTCATGATGATCAGTCTGAGACCAATGAACTAGTTAGTGTGAATGATTCTGAGGAAAGTGATGATGTTGAGGTTACCACATGTGAATCTGAGAGACATGCCTCTCTCAAAAATCTGGATGAACTAAATTACCAGCTAATTAACGCCCCAAATGGTTGGCTTGATTGCTCAATTATTCAAAGTGCACAGGTTCTTTTACAGAAAATAAACCCTCTGAAGGTTTTCAACGTCCAACACTAGGCCCAGTGCGAAATTTCAGCATAGTTTCTAGTGAATTTGTTCAAATATTACATACTGGAAGGGACCATTGGGTCTGTATAAGCACAATAGGATGCTCCCCTGGTATAGTTAAACTTTTTGACAGTCTTTTTCACGACATAATCTCACAAGAAGTTGAGGATCAGGCCCAAAGTTTATTAGCAGACAGTTTCAAAGAGCTTGTGTATGCACCTGTCCAGCAACAAACAAATGCTGGTGATTGTGGATTATTTGCAATTGCTTTTGCAGCAAGTCTTGTGTTTGGATATGATCCTCAAGATATTTCTTTTGACACCACTAGAATGCGTGCACATTTAGTGGCCTGCTTTGAAGCTGGTGCATTATACTCAATTTCCATGTTTGTGAAATCAATTAACCAGGGTTTTCCAAAATTTTCATTTCAGAGGCCCTAAGAATCCTTTGACCAAAGGTTTAGAGTCCCACAGGCAACCATAGGGGTCCCACGGATACCATTATTTAAAATTTTGAGGAAAAGGAAGTAATCTTTCAGCATATGATTTATTATGTAAACTACCTCTTCATAATATGTGCATCTGAGAGGACCTGTTCTCCTTGCTGTTTTGTGTCACTTTCAGTTTTTAGAGCTAAAGAGCATGTCTCTGACTTGTATTTACATGTCATAGAAAACCCTGAGTTAACTATCTTAGAGCGTGAGCTGTATATTAAGTATGCTGTCAGAAGTTTCATTTAGCTCCACTCTCTAATTCTGATTTTTGGTCCTGTAGTTCTCAGTTTTCAGGTACTAATTTCAATTCAGATGGCCACTTATTTTTCACTTCAGTTTGCAATCAGTAACAGTTAACTTAATTGAAGCTTGCTACCCCCCAAAATTGTGCTGTTAGCAAGTGTGCATATATAACTTGTTAACACCTCTTTACAGAGCCAAAACCAAGGTTTTGTGTATGTATTAAAATGCAAGTTCACGCCCAACACTTTATCGTAGAAACAGATTCAAATAAGTGTTTATTTACATTTTTAACTCTCATACTTTTCTCTCTGACCTCAGTTCTTTTATACAGTCTGTTACATGTTAGAGACAACTTGTTCAAAGTTAACATTACAATGATTGTTAAGAAATGGGCCATCAAACAGAATTGCCAAAAGTACCTTCACCAAAGTCACCCAAAAAATGTCAATGACAGTGTGAGTATAAGGGTGCCAATGCTCCTCTATCCACATGGAACACACATACAAAAAAAACAGTACAGCAACTACTGTGCAGGGTTACTTGAATGCTGTGAACTTCCAATAATTACCTTGAAACCACACAAAATTGTGAAAAAATATAACAGGGCAATCAATAATTTGAATTTCCAACAAAGTATCA